CCCTCCAGCCTCCTCTCCTGGCCCACCTTGTCCAGCCACCCTGACCAGGGGCTTCCTTTCAGCCCTGCGCCCAGCGGAGCTCTCTGTCCCACCACCCCCTGCCCTGCACCCACTCCAGGCCCTGCCCCTACCCCCGGGCCCTGCACCCACGTCAGGCCCCGCACCCACCCCTGGCCCTGCAGGCTCTGGTCACCACACATACTGTTCCAGCTCCAACATCTTGGATTGTCCATTTCTGCTTTATTTTTCCCCATGGCTTCAGTGTGTAATGCCTTCGACCAGGACATCTCGTCTGCTCTGCTCACCGTGAGGGCCGGGCTCCATCCCTGGGCTCTGGGCCGTGAGCTCTCAGCACCCAGACCCTGCAGGGCTCCCGGCAGCCGCTTAAGAGCCGACAGCCCTGAGTCAGACTACACGGCGAGGCCCCACAGCTCGGCCACCTCTCCGGACCCTCCGTGGCTCCCTCCGGCCTGCATGGGGTGGTCCACACGGCGCGGCTGCCTGCCTGAAGCCGCCGTGACCCGGGGGGTGGGCACTTTCCCTGTGATGACTGCAGGATGCCCCCCTGGCCGGCAGGGCACTGGGCTGTTTGCCCATCCCTCTCAAAATCCACCTGGATACGTGCGGACCTTTCTCCGTCTGCGGGGATTCCACACTGAGTTTACCAACTTCCTCCGACGCCCTCGCTGGCTGCCGCGGGCCTGGGGGAGCCACGCCTGTGTGTGACACCGAGTCCTCCCCTGCAGCCTTCCGGCTGCTGCTGGAGACATGGGCATTTGCCACGCAGCTTCAACACAGCCGGAGACGTGGTATTTGTGGTTTTCTGGTGGGGTTCGAGGGTGGAAGAACGGCACTGACGTGGGGCAGCTCCGGCCGGGTCTCTGCAGGGCTGTCCCGTTGGCGCCCATGGGTTCAGTCGGGTTCTCCACATAGGAGGTCATCTCTCCTGCAATCTTCTGTCCCCATGAGGCTGACCCTGGGCCAATTGCCTTCCAGGTCCTGCCTGGGGACATTCGAGCACACAGTCCGTGCCCGTACTGGCCACGGGCACACCTGGAGGTGGACGTTCATCCAGCCCCTGGCAGAAGCTGTGCCCAGGGTGAGTGTCCAGCCCCGGGCAGCTGCCCTGCTTCCCGCCACTGACCCAGCATCCTCAAAATCATCCTCGGGTCTCTCTGCCCCCAGAGCTTCAGCCGGCATCCCTGCCATAGCGGTGGCGTCTCTGTGCCTGGGCCAGGCAGGTGTCCTGGATCTCCAGTTGCTCTGAGAAGTCACCCGGCTGCCCGAGAGCTCAGAGCTGCTGCCTGCACACACCCCAGGATGAGGCCGACCGCAGGACCTGGCTCCCAGCCCTAGTTCAGCCCCAGCTGCCTCTTCCCGTGTGTCGGGGCCTGGGTGGGGCTTCTGGGTCCCCAGGAGCCCTGGGTGCAGCCACAGTGGGAGAGCGGGGAGAAGGGTAAGAAATCCCCGAGGGCACAGCCCGCCCTCCACAGCCACAGACCCCCGAGGGCACAGCCCGCCCTCCACGGCCACAGACCCCCGAGGGCACAGCCCGCCCTCCACGGCCACAGACCCCCGAGGGCACAGCCCGCCCTCCACGGCCACAGACCCCCAAGCCCTGTGTCTCTGTTTGTCTCGCTCTCCATGGCCAGGAGCCTCCCAGGTCCCCTCATCTGGGCCGAAACTGGCCCCACAGGGCCCTGAGCACATGGCAGGACACCCCTTCTCCATCAGCCTGGGGGAAGTTTTGGCTCCTGGAGGCCGGGCCCAGAATCATGAGCCAGACTCCAGGTGGCCTCCTGGCATGGGGGCACGGGGGTTGAGCAGGGGCCACCCAGGCCAGTCCTGGCCTCTTCCCGCTCATGCCCAGGAGAACTGGGGAGCAGGGGCAGGGTGGCCGCAGCCCAGGTGTTTGGGGCCACACCCAGTGCTGTGGCTCTTTCCGGAATGGTGCCTTGCATAACCGGGGGCTGTGGTGACCGGGTGGGGGCAGGGAGACGGCTGCTTCCTCCCAGGGCTGCTATCTGGTTACGTTCCAGGAGGCCCTGGGCTGAGCTCACCCCGGGGGGTGGAGGATTAGTCAGCAGCACCCACCCCACCCTGAGAGGAAGAGGCGGATTTCCAGGATACCTGATCCGCCCCGGGTGGGCACAGCGGTGCGGGTTAGGGTGCCCCTTGGCTGTGAGGTCAGGTGTCAGCCGAGCACTGGAGCAGGAGGCTCTCATGGCCGCCCACCCCACCCGCCTCTTCCTCTCAGCGTGGGGTGGGCGGCTGCGCTTCTCGCCCGGCTGCCAAGGGGACACAGGCCGAGGCTGGGGAGCCCCCCAGCCCCACCCACTCACCCCAGGAGTCAGGCTCTGAGGTCGGCCCCGCTGCCCAGGTGTCTGTGAGCCCACGGCTAGGCCAGCACGGGCGGGCAACTGGGGAACTGGAGCCGGGGAGTACCCCAGCCCCGAATTGGCACCCCAGCCCGTAGACCTGTCAGAGCCACCCCCAGACATGAGCCAGAGCTGGAGCCACCAGGCCTCACCGCCTGGCTTTGGGTCAAAAATCCTGGTGCGGGGACTGGGCTGGCCTTGAGCGGCGTGGGCTGAGACCTGGGACCCGGCACCCTGTCTGCGGAGCCTGAGCCTGCCAGCGCCGGGGCTGACTGTGCTGCCACCTTGTGGCGGCTGCACCCCTGAGAATGGAAGGCGGGTTCCCAGGCCCCACCCGCTGGGCGGCGCCTGAAACGGAAGCGGTGGGGGTTGGAGCAATGGGCGCAGCCGAAGTCTGGGAGGGCTGGGAAAAGCCCCCAGCCGAACGGGAACGTGAGGCCCCCACGTCCACCTTGCTGACGGCGAACCTCCCATCAGCTCCCTGGCCACTCCACACCACGCCAGGGTGCACAGGTCCCCGAGGCCCTCTCTGGCCCAGAGGGGCACTGGGGCCACCTGAGGCCATGGGAGCCCCAAGCAGGACCTTGAGCCCCAGAAAGTCCCCAGGTAGCCGGTGCCCACCACATCACCCCCACATTCCTGCCTCCCCTCTGGGCGCGGCTTCCTACCTGCCTGCCCCACCGTCAGGCATCAGGGGCTCCAGACACTCCCAGGCCTTCCTGTGTGGGCTGCAGGCCTGGCCGGGGCCAACCGGAGCCCTCCCTGTCCTTCCCCTACCCTGCGCTGGCCCCATCTGGGCAGTGGGCTCCCCAGCCCCGCCTGGCTCAGCCTGGGCTTCTCCAGATCCCCCTGCCCGCTCCTGGGATGCAGGGCCAGTGCTGCCCATTCTCCTGGCACTGCTGTGTGGCCAAGGCAGGGCCCAGCCTAAGGCCAGTGTGTCCTGGGGCACTGCAGACTCCCTGGAGCCCTCCAAGAAGCGTGTGCTGGGCATCAGGAACATGGAGGCTCCGGGAAGGGGGTGGTCAGACAGGACGAAGAGAGACGAGAATCCAGGGCCCAGCCCACCCTCTGCAGAGCGACCCGCACCCTCCGTGGGGTTGCCGCCCACCCGCTTCCCTGCAGACTCTCAGGAGAGTGCACGCCCCACGCTTGGCCCGGGAACCGAGCATCTAGGAGCTGCGCAGAGATGGAGCCCCCCACCCTGGACGCCGCCCTCACCAGGGGCAGCCCTCCCGTGCCAGAGGCCCTCACTTGGGCTGTGAGGAGCCCTGGATGCCCAGGCTGCCCCCATTCCCCGCTGACTCCCTCCCTCACTCAGTCATTCACTCACTCACTCACTCACTTATTCCCTCACTCACTCATTCACTCACTCATTCTTTCACTCATTCAGTCACTCACTCATACACTCATTCACTCACTCACTTATTCACTCATTCATTTTTTCACTCACTCATTCACTCACTCCTTAACTCACTCACTCATCCACTCATTCACTCACTCATTCACTCATTGTTTCACTCACTCATTCACTCCTTAACTCAGTCACTCATTCAGTCACTCATCCACTCATTCACTCACTCACTCATCCACTCACTCCACTCCTTCACTCAGTCACTCATTCACTTACTCATCCACTCATTCACTCACTCACTCATCCACTCATTCACTCACTCCACTCCTTCACTCAGTCACTCATTCATTCACTCACTCTTTCACTCATTCACTCCTTCAGTCACTCATTCATTCTTTCACTTATTCACTCACTCATCCATTCATTCATTCTTTCACTTACTCCTTAACTCAGTCACTCCTTCACTCACTCACTTATTCCTTCACTCACTCATTCACTCATTCATTCACACACACATTCACTCATTCTTTCACGCATTCACTCATTCACTCACACTCATTCGCTTATTCATTTGCTCAAATTCACTCATTCACTTGCTCATTCAATCACTCATTCATTCATTCACTCACTTATTTACTCACTGATTTATTTACTAATCATTCTCTCAGGTTCTCACTCACTCTGTGTTCTGGCCAGATGCCTCCTGAGCTCTAGACTGCAGCCAGGTCCTCAGTGACCTCTGCAGGGTGGTGGTCTCCTCTTGGGGCAGATACAAGCCCCGGCCTCTCCTCTCCAAGCAGACGGACACTACCCCACCGAGCCCACAAAAGCAGCAGCTCCCCCAGACAGTCCTCGCTGACTGCCCGGTGCTGGGTGGCTGGCCAGAGGTGTGCACCCCTAGGGCCCGGGTCTGCCCCCCGCCCTGTTCCTGGGTTTTATGAACAAGCTCAAAAAATGCACAGTTCACAAATTGCAACATGCTTGAGTGTATTTATGCAGCCGATTGGCCGTGTCCTGAGGAGGGGGTGCAGGCCAAGGGCTGAGGTAGGAGTGAGGCTCTTCCTCCCGCAGCCAGAGGCAGCTGACCCCCATGTCCAAGCATCATTCCTGAGGCCATCGGTGGGCTGGATGCATGGCCAGCAGCATCCACCAGCCCCGGGCTGGTCCTGAGCGGTGGCTACAGGCGGGGACGGGCCCTTCCTTCAGGCAGTGGTGACCGAGCCCACACCCTCCACGAGAGCAGGCGTGGACAGTGCATTCGAAGCTGCAGCCGCCTGGTCGAGGGCACAGGTTCTACTGGCTTTGGAAGTCAAACTGGTAGGACACTTAGGCGGTTCTTCTTGGGGGTCGGGAGGACGGCAGGGCCGGTCAGTTGATGGAGGACGCTGGGGCCCCTCTCTCCCGGCTCCCGCTCTCCGCCTCCTGACTCTGCTCAGGTTCCGCCTCCTCCGAGTGCTGGGTGTCGCCCGGCGCAGGGCACCGCTGGCCCGTGCAGCCGCACTCTTCCACCTCTGTGTATCGGAAGGCCCGGCGGGAGCCGTCGGCGCAGTGCAGGGTCACGTTCCTTGGCGAGGTCCGCAGCTCCTGGCAGCACCGGCACCTGTGCTCCAGCACGTTGGCCTTGAGCGAGTACCTGCGGGCAGGGGCTGCTCAGCACCAGCTGCCGTGCCCGGGCCCCCAGGCCCCCGCCTCGGGCCGGCCCCGTGCTGCGCTCCCTCTGCGCGGCCTCGTCCCAGCTCCTGGAGGCTGCTGTGGTGTCTGACAACGGCTCCCGTTTGCCAGTGCCCCGGGCACCAACACTCCCATCAGGGCCGACTCCAGCTCCCGCTGACGGGAGGGAGGGAGACTAGGGCGCTGGGGCAAGTTACGGGCGGAGCTCAGCGGGCAGAGCAAGCGATTCCGACACAGGCTCTGGGGCTGCAGCCACCCCAGCCGTGCCCCGGCCATCTCAGAGCCCCTTTCCGGCCTCACCCCCAGCGCCCTCCGCCCCGCCCCTCCCGGTCCTGCCCCTCGTCTGCCCTCGGACTCCGACTGCACCCCATGGCCAGTGGCACCTCCCGCCCACGGCCCAGGCACGTACATGGAGGAGCTGTCCCCGCAGTTGCCCTGGCAGTAGGCCAGGCGCACGGGCCCCTCGGATTGGCAGCCCTGCTGCCGGATGGTTTGGCTCCGATAGTGCACGGCACAGGTGGACTCTGGGGAAACACGGGGTTTAGGACCAGCGCAGCCACTCCTGGACCTCCAGGGCTGGAGCCCACCCCACCCAGCAGGCTTGGCACTTACGGTTCTGGGGCGGGGGCGGTGGGCAGAAGAGGCAGCAGGCGTCCTCGCTCATGCGGGCCTCGTCCTGTGCCAACAGAGGGGTGGCCTCAGTGCCGACGCGCTTGGCAGCCCCCACCCCGCAGAAGTGGGGGACGGGCACATGGGGTCAGGCTTGGGAGTGGACAGCCCCATGCAGGAGGGGTGGCTCTGCGAGCGCTTCAGGAACGACGGCAGTCCCCCAACCCCATATGGGGGTGAAGCCACCTTGGCTGGGTGGTGGCCCTGGGCCTCACCAGAGAACAGCTGAGTGGGGGGCACGCCTTCTTCGTGGTGACCACCACAAGCCCGTCCCGGTGCTTCTCACACTCGTGGGTCACACAGTGGTTCCCAGGGTCTGACCAGGTCTCGCCGGGCTGGAGGGAGGCCAGGGCCTGGGGTGAGTGTCTGCACCCCAGCCTCTACCAGGTGCATGCCAGCAAGGACAGGTCCCCAAATACCCTCATGCTCTCAGACCCTGCCCTTCCTCCTGGTGGCAGCTGATACTCACGTAGAAGAGGTGGGCGGAGCTCTCACTGGTGTTGGTGACACAGGCGACCTGAACACAGGTGCCACAGCACTGCCCACGCTGCTCCCGGTACTCGAAGCCCTGCGGGAGGGACGGACATGTGGCCGGAGTCCAGGGGACAGCCGCCCCCAGGCGGCTAGGGCAGGGTGGGGGCAGGGCAGGTGGGGGCAGGGCAGGGTGGGGGCAGGGTGGGGGCAGGGCAGGTGGGGGCAGGGCAGGGTGGGGGCAGGGTGGGGGCCAGGGCAGGGTGGGGGCAGGGCAGGTGGGGGCAGGGCAGGGGCCAGGGCGGGTGGGGGCAGGGCAGGGGCCAGGGCGGGTGGGGGCAGGGTGGCGGTCACTCACCATGGGGCAGTGTGTGTTGCAGATCTGGGTCTCACAGCTGACTACAAATGAGGCCGACAGGGAACCGCCGGGCAGCTCACACCTGCAGGTTTCGCACAGGCTTGAGGAGACCACAGCGCCGGGCTGGGGAGAGCCATGGCAGCAGAGTCAATCAGGGTAGGCCCTGGGGCAGAGCCACCCCTGCCTCCCCACTGGCCTGCTGCCCCCACATTCCCAGACATCCCTCTCCAGGCCAATTTCTGCCAGGCCGACCTGCCCCCTGGGGTGACTCCTGATGGCAGGTCCTGGTGCAGAGGTCACTGCCCAGGGTCCCCATCCCCAAGGCAGAGTCCCATGCTGCAACCCCGTGGGTAGGCTGGCTAGCAAGGCCACATGCTCTGCAGGGCCACAGGACACAGAGCCACAGGATCCAGGCCTGGCTGCACTGAGGTGCCAGGAGAGGCAAGCCCCTCAGAGCCAGGTGGGCCAGGGTGTAGACGTCCACATTTCCCGGCCCTGGGGTTGCCTCCGGCCTCAGCCACACTTGATTGTGGGCTGTCTCCTGAGAGACTCCGGTCCCTGGCCCCCGCTGGGTCGTCAGGCTCTCAGTTCGCCCCCGCTGCTCCCAAGTCTACCTGGGCCCAGGATCTACAGGAAGCTCCGTCCCTGCGGGGGCCTGTGGGGGCAGCTGGAGGGGGCCTGTGGGGGCGGCTGTGGGGGCCTGTGGGGGCGGCTGGAGGGGGCCTGTGGGGGTCTGAGCCCTGCGGCCTTTACCTGGTACAGGGTCCCGTTGACGCTGCACACTGTCCAGCCTGCCCAGGAGAAGACGAGCAGCTGCAGCCCCCGCCAGAAACCCAGCCCGCCCTCCCCTCGCCCTCAGCATCCCCGCCCCTCAGCCTCCTGGGCTCACCACTGCAGTTTCTCAAGCCTCATCTCTGCGGAAGGCTCAGCCCAGAGCCACAGACAGGCCGCAGACAAGCCGCAGTGGCATCTGGCTCTGCCCCCCAAAATCCCGGGTGGAGTCCCCAGCCCACAGCCCCCAGAACAGTCCCAGTCCTGGCCACTCACTGCAGTTTTGGACCGGGCAGCAGCCTCCCTCCTCGTGGGTCAGGATCTCGCGGGCGCCCTCGGGACAGCCCACGGGTGGGGGACAGTGGCTGGAGTTGCAGGCTGTGGGGCGGGAAGGAGGCAGTTGGGAGTCCATCCCCACCCCCACCCAAGGGCGACCCCAGGGGTCTCCAGGATTGCGGACTGCCCAGATGGCCTGCTGGGGGGTCTCCAGGTGAGGCTGTGGCAGGAGGGTAGGAGGGGACGCCCTCTCGGGCACTGCCCCCAGGTGCACGGCCCAGGGCAGCAGCAAAGGGTGGGCCGGGTGGGCTCCCGTTCACGCTCCACGCCATGTCCCCACCCAGCGAAGGACTTACCACAGCTGTACTGGGGGCAGCACTGGCCGGCCTGCGGGGCTGCAGGCACAGGCACGAAGCCGGGCAGGGCGCAGGCAGGGGGTGGCGGGCAGGGCTTGGGCCGGCAGGTCAGCGTCCAGGTGGCCGACTCGCACGTGCACTCCTGGCAGTCCATGCTGACGGTGTGGCCCACCTGCAAGGCAGAGGCTGCAGGTCCAGCTCCCGCGGCGGCCCCACCCCCGGGTGCAGCAGCCAGGCGGGCTTATGCAGGGCGAGGGCAGCCCAGTGCGGAGGCCGTGCAGCCTGCGGCCAAGGACCCCACAGGAGCGGGGCTTCGAAAGTACAGGGGGCGGCCCACGGGCAGGCATGGAGCTCTGCAAGGCGGGCCGGCTGTGGGGCGACTGGCCCACATCCCCCACCTCACACCTCCAAAGCCTCAGCTGGGCAGAAGGGCGTCCCGAGCAAGGGAAGGGCACTGCCAACCTCAGGGCTGGCGCCCACACAGCAGCACCAGGGCAGAGGCCCTGCACAGTCCTGCACTTCCAGGGCAGGCACCTGGGAAGGGAGCTCCAAGTCTTTCAGGGAGCCTGGCTCCTCCCACGGCCTTTGCTCTGGGCCTGTCTCAGAGAGGACACCTGACCCCTGAGCCCCATCTGACTGTTTCTGAGGCCGGTGTTTCAAGAGCCTCCCTCCTCAAGCCCTTGGACCCCAGGGCCCCCTCGGGCCTCCCCGGCCGCTCACCTCCACCGGTTCTCCGTGGGGCCCCAGACACCCTGGCAGGAGAGAGAGCTGAGGTCACTGGGGGGCAGCCGCCCAACACAGGTGAGGGGCAGGGTCCTGTATCGGGCTGGGGCAGACCCCAGGGCCTGGCCAACAGTCACAGGCCCCGTCCTGCCACACCACCCAGCCCAGGCAGGGGGCACGTACGGGGGCAGCCCCTGGGCACGCAGACTTGGGCACTGGTGCTGAAGAGGATCATGCCCTCCGGGCAGAAGCAGCCTTCAGTGATGGGGCCAGCCTCCTGCAGAGCTCTGTGGAGAATGAGCTGGGGGTTGGTGGGTGGGCCTCCTCTTTCCCTCTAGGTGGGAAGGGCCCCAGCCTGGGAGCGGGAGAGGCGGGGAGCTGGGCCAGGAGGGAGGGCACCTACGCAAGGCCAGCGCTGTCGTTCCCATGGCAGTAGGAGGGGCTGGTCGGGCCGCAGGGTAGGTACACAGTGTTGGTGGGGCAGGTGAACGCTGCTGGGAGGGGAAGCCATGCCTGAGAGGGCAGGAGGGCACCCACCCAGAGCCACACGGGCCGCTGGGCACTGGCACCTGCTCTGGAGCTTTCCTGAGCCACCCGCGAGCCCAGGCCTGGCCACAGCCACCCATGCCCGGCGCCCCAATGTGGATGCCCTCCTTTCTCTCTGGGGAACTGGGTGCACTCTGCCCTGGGGCCGCCCCTCCTCCTCCGGGTCCCACCCTGTCGGCCCGAGCCCACCCTGAAGGTGTGCCGGGGGTGCCAGCACCCCTCACAAGCGACAGGCCCCGAGGAGGTGGCCTCACTCACAGCACGTGTGGTTGCTGTGGCCTCTCCAGTCGACGCAGATGCCCTGGGACGCGCAGAGCGCCGCGTACAGCTCCAGGCTGGAGCACACCACATCCAGGTCGGTCATGTGGCACTGGTCGAAGGCACAGCCCTCGTAGAAGGGCAGTGGCGGGATCACAGTGTGGCACGGCTCGAAGACCCTGTGGGGGGATGGGCAGGGCGCTGGGTGTGGCCTCTCCGGCCACCCACCTGCTCCACGTCAGGCTCCCAGGCTTCGGGACAGACCCCAGGCGAGGCGAGCCCCCGGCAGCGGCTGCTGTGCAGCCCCCCAGCCACTCTCGCCCTGACAGGTTCCTTCTGCACATTCTGTGCGCTTGGGGGCTGGGGTTGGGGACCAGATGCTATCATCCATTTCTTTCTGCAAGTTCTTCTTCCTGAGGCTCCCCCTCACCCCGAAAACCTGGGAGCTGCCTGAGGGGCAGTGACCGATGGCCCCGTCCATGCACCTGAGCCAGCAGAGAGCCTCAGAGACGGCCCAGCCAGCCCTGGCCACCTCTTAGCAGCATTCCAGCCACGACCACCTCTGCCCGGCACCCTCCCCTCCCCGGCCCCTCCCCAGCACCTGCCCCTCCTCTGCCTGCTGCACCAGCAGCTCCGAAGCCCTCTGAAAACTGCAGCTCGTGGAAGGGTGGGGCCGGGGGGCTGTCGCGCTGACCCTCCCTCCCTTGCACCCGAGTCTCACTTGCTCAGAATCAGCTGGCAGATGGGTGCTGGAGGGCACGGAGCAGGCGGGGTGGTGGGCCTGAATGTGGTGGGCACGGCGGTGGTGAGCCCGGCGGTGGTGAGCCCGGCGGGGGTGGGTGCTGGGCGGGGACCGTGGCAGGCTGGCTGGCCGGGGATGCTCACGTTCCAGAGGCCGGCCATCTCCGAGCAGGAAGTGGCCACCCGTCCTCCTGGCATGCGGCACTCATCCTTACGGTCGTTGGTACACGTGCCTGGGCAGGCGTGGTGGGGTCAGGCCGCTGGACAGCGGAGTCGGCAGACCCAGCCCTGTGGAGCTCAGCACCCGCAGCTGGGGGACCCAACCCTGGTGTCTCAGGGTCACCCTTAGGTGGACTGTAGCGGGGCCGCCCTGTGCCTCGCTGACCCCCGAGGACGACCCTGGGGCAGCCTCCATGGTACCGGCGAGCGGTGGGCACCGGCAGGTGTGAGCCTCAGTGGTGAGGCCCGCACCAGGAAGAGCAGTCAGGAAGCAGAGACACCGGCACGCCGGCATGCAGCAGCCTCGCCCCCGCCCGCCCTCCCCCCATGAACGCCGGACACTGCCCCGGAGCCCCACAGCCTCACCACACTGGCCCTCGGTGTTGTTGGCAAAGGTGCTGAAGGGCACCTCCACGGAGAAGATGAGGCCAGAGAACATGACCCGCACGCCCAGCTCCGGGATGGCCGCGTACATCTTGATGCCCACACGGGAGACCACGATGCCGTCTTTCTGGAAGCCGGGGCTGACCACCTTGTTGTTGAAGATGATCTGGACGCAGGGCGCCGCGGACAGGAAGCAGAAGGCGGGTGGGCGGGTGGTCAGCTGCTGCTCAGACTGGTGTGCCCTGCCCCCCACCACCTCCCGGCACACCGGGCGCCCCCACCTCGTTGGTCATCACCCCGCGGACTGGCCTGCGGGTCAGCACCACGCGGTCCTGCCGGTACTCCAGGATGATGGACCTCGGGCAGGAGAGCCCATCCTCCGCGTTGCAGAAATAGTTGTCGACGAGGACGCGGAAGTGGCCGAACACGGGCACGATCTGCTGCACCAGCACATAGGTGCAGTTGTCCAGGAAGGTGTAGTAGGTACCGTCGAAGGTGATGTAGTGCGGGTCGCCCCAGCCGCTGCACACACCTGCATGGCCAGGGCAGCGTGACGGGCAGCTCGGGTGCCTGCACCTCAGCCCCGGGGCTGTCTCTCTCCCACAGGCCACGTCTGTCCCTGCCCCCCTACCGGGTGGCCTCACGGGGCGCACGAGACCCTCCCTGTCATCAGAACACAGCACCTGCACGGAGCTCCATCGGGCGGGCGCTTGACAAGGCCCGAGCGAGGCAGAGACAGACCCTCCGCCTTCCCCGGCCCGGCTGCTCGGGGCTCACAGGGCTCCACTCAGCACCCCTAAGCAGGAGGCTCCGCCCCACACAGCCCGGTCTGGATGCTGGAAAGTCCTTCCTGCTGTCCAACCCAGTTCCTTTCTGCTTCAGCCCAGCCCCCTCCTCTGCCCCACCCATTTCCGCCTGAGGGGAGAGGCCTGCCTGGCTCCCACCTGCCCTCCACTCACACTGGCACTGGTACTGATGGCAGCAGCCGTCCTGCTCAGCCACCTTCAGGGCCGGGTACCCGTTGGCGCACGTGGGCTTCTCCACCCTCGGGCACGTGAGTGGGCGCAGAGAGATGACGTTGTGGCCCTCGCAGGTGGCCTCGGAGCAGCTGGGCATGGGCCAGGTCTCCCCTTTCTACAGAAGCACAGAGCTGCAGGCTCAAGCCTCTCCCAGTCTCCGGGGCAGCCCTCGGCTCTCAGGGTCACAGTCCTGAGAGTCCGGTGTGGGGACAGGGGAGGGTGGCTGCTCCCCAGTCTCCTTCCTGCTCCACACTCACCACCCACCCCAGACACCGAGCTGGCCGGGGGCAGGGGCCTCTGGTGTGGGAGTTGCCCCCACCGCCACCGGCCTGGCCACACGCCCTGGCTGTGCAGCCGCGGCCTCAGCGTCCTCCAGCTGCCCTGGCCTTGGCTGTCCTCAGCACAGCCTCAGCCTCAAGCCCCACAAGCCCAGAGTCTGCAAAACAAGTGCCTGGGAAGTCCGGGGGGGTCAGAGACCCCGGCTACAGCAGGGCCCTCTCCCAATGGCCAGGCAGCTTCACTGGGGCCAGCCACCTTCTCAAGAACCTGCAGCTGAAGTCTATTTGCAAACACACTCAGAATCCCTGCAGTGGCCTCCAAGCCTTCAGAAGGGTGGGAAGTAGGAGATTACCTTTCTGGGGGGCACCGCATTGGGGCATCCCAGCTCCGTGACGGGCTCAGAGGTGGCTGTGGAAGGGGACGTGGCCGGGGCAGGCGGCAGCGTGGTGGACGGGCAGTCGCTGTCAACCTCTCTGACCACTTGGCAATCCTGGCTGCACAGGGCGTAGTAGCAGTGGCCGGCGAGGTCTCTGTGGCGGTATATGGTGGACCCTGCAGGAGGAGGGCACATGGCAGGCTTTAGCGGAGCCCTGCTCAGAGAAGAAGCAAAAACCCCTCGGTGAGCCTGAGGGGCTCTTTCTACCCGCTGGGTAATGGGAAAAAGCTTCAGAAAACGCAAGCAGCCGCCCTGCGACAACTAGCTTGTGCCACAAGGGCAGAGAATCCACCCATCTCCATCACAGCCTGGCGTTCCCGGACAAAACACTGACCAGGGTGGGCTCAGAGAGAATTACGAAAGAAAAACGAACCTGCGGGGTACAGCTGACCAGCCACGTTGCAGAAGCAGGTTGGGGTGGTGTAAGCCACAGAGCTCGGTGCCACAGACGTGGATGCCACGGAGGTGGACGGCACAATGGTGGATGGCACGAAGGTGGACGGGGAAGGAGGTGTGGTTGTGGTAGAAGTCCCATAGGGAGAAATGGAGGTCACGGGGCAGCCTTTGGGGGTCCCGCAGCAGAGCACGCGCACCTCGTAG